CTTGAGTAAGTACTACAGCACATGTTACTTGTAATAAGTATAGTGTACTTGAGTAAGTACTACAGCACATGTTACTTGTAGTAAGTATAGTGTACTTGAGTAAGTACTCCAGCACCCAGTACTAGGAGTAAGCACAGTGTACTTGAGTAAGTACTCCAGCACATGTTACTTGTAGTAAGTACAGTGTACTTGAGTAAGTACTCCGGCACATGTTACTTGTAGTAAGTACAGTGTACTTGAGTAAGTACTCCGGCACCCAGTACTAGGAGTAAGCACAGTGTACTTGAGTAAGTACTCCAGCACATGTTACTTGTAGTAAGTACAGTGTACTTGAGTAAATACTCCAGCACATGTTACTTGTAGTAAGTACAGTGTACTTGAGTAAGTACTCCGGCACCCAGTACTAGGAGTAAGCACAGTGTACTTGAGTAAGTACTCCAGCACATGTTACTTGTAGTAAGTACAGTGTACTTGAGTAAATACTCCAGCACATGTTACTTGTAGTAAGTACAGTGTACTTGAGTAAGTACTCCAGCAGATGTTACTTGTAGTAAGTACAGTGTACTTGAGTAAGTACTCCAGCAGATGTTACTTGTAGTAAGTACAGTGTACTTGAGTAAGTACTCCAGCACCCAGTACTAGGAGTAAGCACAGTGTACTTGAGTAAGTACTCCAGCACATGTTACTTGTAGTAAGTACAGTGTACTTGAGTAAATACTCCAGCACATGTTACTTGTAGTAAGTATAGTGTACTTGAGTAAGTACTACAGCACATGTTACTTGTAATAAGTATAGTGTACTTGAGTAAGTACTACAGCACATGTTACTTGTTGTAAGTATAGTGTACTTGAGTAAGTACTCCAGCACCCAGTACTAGGAGTAAGCACAGTGTACTTGAGTAAGTACTCCAGCACATGTTACTTGTAGTAAGTACAGTGTACTTGAGTAAATACTCCAGCACATGTTACTTGTAGTAAGTACAGTGTACTTGAGTAAGTACTCCAGCAGATGTTACTTGTAGTAAGTACAGTGTACTTGAGTAAGTACTCTAGCTCCAGTACTCGGAGCTCGCCCAGACCGCCTGTAGAGTCAAGATGGATCGCCGGCCTCCTGAACCAACAATCACCTCTGAGTTATGTTCTAATTACAGTATCATTGTAGATAATTACCCTTGCCAAGTTAATTACCACTCGACCGTAAGGCACATCCTTTCTGACCGCTGCTGTCCCTGCGTGGTTCAATGGTGCTTTTTATTAGTTCCGGTCTTAAGTTTGTTTTTTGTATTCCGTGTGCTTTGTCTCCTTGTGGATAAAGTTTCGAGATGGTTTGATACATTTTTAGATGAATGTAATTTAAACTGTTGTGTGTTAGCTTTGAGTGTCAATTGTAACAAACCGGCGTTTGTTTACAATTATCAATGGAATAGTCAATGGCATAACGCATTTCATTCTAAGGTTCAGAAGATGCTAAATATATTAAAGTAAAATTAACATTGTGTATTTCTGGGGTGAATGGATTTAGCGTAGTGTGATAGTATGTTTACAAAATGAAATATTCAATGGTACAACGCATTTAATTTGAGAAGATGATAAATATAATTAAGTAAAATTAACATTGTTTATTTCTGGAGTGTATAATGGATTTAGGTTTTATTTATAAGTCGTAGCACTTCTTGTTCACAAAATGCCAAATATATTAATGTCAAAATAAATTTTAAATCTGAAAATCCGAATCCTTCTAAGAATTGTAAACAGAATAACTAGTAATAACTGGAAACCAAAATCGACACTGAAATAATTACTGTAGATAAATTTGTTTTGGTGCACAGTATACTACTTTTACTGGTAACTCAGCATATTTTGGTTTAAAAGTTTAATTTATAAAATATTGATCTCGGCTTCAGGATTTATGCTTCAACATTGAGTTTTCAAACCCATAACAATAACTTATATGTAAACTAACTGACGTAGGTATTGAACTTAACGTTAACGTGAAAATAACGTTTTTGTGTCACGAGGAGTAAGTGAAAATAATTTTTAGATAACTTACCACATAGTTTTACTCATATAGGCTGTTACCCTACAAATTAGCGATGACCAAACGGTTAAAACATTCCAAATTGGCAACGCATCATTTCCAATCGCCGCGATTGTCACGCAATATAAATCAATTCATACGTTTATTGCTTAAAACGGCGCATTGAACCAACAGATTGCTGTTTCGTGCCTGTCCGCCATATTTCCCAGTCATATATTCATAGTCCGCACTCCGCAGTACGTACCAATGTTTAATACTGTTATGCAGACGTCGATTATGTTTGCCACATTGTATTAATGAGGGGGTGAATTTGGCGGGAGTGGTTCTGTCTGTTTCGGCGGGAAATTGTGTTATGGTGGTCGAGCGAGGGAACTCCATTAGAGGATTGCAATCATCCCGTATTGTGTGTCTGCGGCATTTTATTGGTTATGCATTAGATCAATATTAACTTGGCCGTTTGCCTGTGTTTGTTGCACGTTAAACAACGTCGATATTTCATTGTGAACACCTGACTTATATTGCTCGACAGATTGCTACGCGAGTTTCCGCGAGTCCTTGGATTCAGGTTTCACTATGATCTATGTCTTGGCTTGAGGGATTGGTATAGTTCAATTTGCAATCCTGTCCAACTAAAACGTAAGTGTAAGGTGTGGCGAATATAATCATTATATACTGGATTGTTATGCCCCTATTGAGTTGCTTGAAGATTAAAAATATAGTTGAATGATTTGCTGTAGATACCTGTTTTGAACTGCTTAGAATTTTTAAAATTCAATTATTTCGAAGAAGACATTAAGATGGTTTAGGTTATTTTAATTAGGTTTATTTTTCTTAATCCCTTTTTTATTATTTTTCCCCTCATGTGGCTTAAATGCTTGTATTGAGACAACTGCATTGAATTTACTAATATACGAGGACATCTATGTACAGTATCATGTACTTACCGAAGGAGTAGTGTACTGTAGGTTGTGGCGGGTTTAAAATTACTATTGTATGATTTGATTCATTTTTCCATTAAACCAATTTACCAATCAATTGGTATTTGATTTTTTTTTTGTTGAATTTGTAAAACAACACTGAATTTGACAAATTCAGCCGTGTTGATCAAACTTTTTTAAATTCACTTATCCTCACCTATGCTATAACAACTCAACTAATCAAAACATTTTTAAAAACTTTTCCTTCTTTAAACTTGCAAATCTCAACACTTAGAGTATAAATCATAGAGCTAGTTAGCCTCCCTAATCGATGACGAAGGAGTTTCGGCTAGACAGGCCCTTCATCCGGTGATTCCGAACTGGGTTATGTAAATGTTAACAAGGTAGGTGATTGTATTAGACCAATGGTTACTAGACACGATCCTTGCAAATAACTTGCCGACGAGGATCTCATGGCTATCGATTCAGCGATGAGTCAGACAGTATCAAGCTTTCATGAGGGAATATTGCTTTGGTTTGTTGTTTGTAAGCTGTAGTTCGATATAATGGTTATTTTGAGATTTTAGTCAATATTATTGTACATTTTTTGGCGATTTTTCTTTTTAATATTATTGTTAGTGCAACTTGAATCAAGTTCACGCCGTTTTAAAAAGAACAGTCTTTGTACATTCTTGAATGTTTATACTCCCCTAGTCTGTATGATGGTACCAGTCTCCTGACCTGGGGACTGACCCAGGCCTTAAACCATTGGCCAGTCCCCATTTAGACTCGGCCAGGAGACAGGTTCTACCATACAGACTATAGTCTATCATCCCTCTGATTCTGTTCGAGGACTAAAGTTTTTACTTGGTAAATTAGTTTCCCATCAAGAACATTGCAAGATGGGTGACCATGTGGGTAGTGTTACTCTTAACAATTATATCTTCATCTTAAGACTAATTTTTGAGTAAATATTCATGTTCAATTGCTTAACCACTAGGTATAATAGGGAAATGCCGTAATAGCTTTTAAACTTTGACCATCTTTATCTTCGAGCTAAGTGTTGGTTCAAAATATACAACGGTGGGCATTTGAGTTTGGAGGTAACGAGCTTTGATAGACATAGACGGTACTTTAAACTGATTTATCTGTGCTTCTGCTACCATTTAGATTCTATACTCAAATTTGCTTAATTATAAGGGGAAGATGACACAACATGCATGAGAAACGCCGATAAAATCAAGCAATGTTGCGTGTACAACTCTACATCGTCTATCTTTGTCTGACTGAAATTCGAACCCGCAATCAGCTGTTGCCATGGTTATGTGGTGTACCATATGTCATTGACTTTAGATACTGAAGAAACGTCCCGTATGGAGCAGCTGTAGCCACCTTTTTTACTTAGTGGAAATAGTTGGACAAAGCTCGTAGACTGTGGTATTTTCTTTAGTTTTCAATACTAAGATAGTTAAGGACATAAAGAATCATAGCTAAAGTTATCCGCATCATTCATGTGTATTTCCACGTAGCAAATGCCTTAGAGGATCTTGTTAGGAATTTATTTTTGCAATTGTTCCAATTTCGGAATCATTGTAACCTATATCAACTGAGTATAACATATTTTGGATTATTAAACTGTTTTTGTTGTTGTTTGAGAATACTTGTTATTTTGGATGCTTGTGGTTCTCTTGGAAAACATTCTTGATAACTGAGAGTACACAACAATTGCTTATTAACGCTGACTTTACAGTTAGCCAAAATCTTTTCTCACTATGGGTATTTCCTCTTAGCAAACAAAGTGGAATTTGTCGGTTCCACAAGCTGGAACATGTGCGCTACACTTACAATTTGGAATTGTTTAAATTATATCAACGCAGAGTGGTAAAAATCGTATTTTACTGTATCTTTTGGTTTTGAGTCGCACTTATTGCGGATTCGTATGGTAATCTTGATAACCAGAGAACACAACAATTGCTTATGACCACTGTGTTATCTCGCCTACATCTGTTTGCTTGTTTGTTTGACCTGTTTGTTTGTTTGTTACAGTCGTGTTGCTGGACACGGCCACGGAGCCCACGCTGGAATGGACACGTTATCCCTTCGGTCCTGCCGCTACAACGCCTGGGGTGAGTCCATGACGAATATAAATATTATAAAATACTCTGGGTCTTTTTAAGAGATACGTCACTGTTACAATTTGCCTTGCGAAAATGAAGGTGAATAAATAGAAACTGTTGATGATGAGTGTTTTATTGACCAAACCAAACCTAAATTCACTATCTTAACCTGGCCTAAACTAACCTAACTTTACTCTAACGTAACCTAACCTAAAATGACCCAACACTACCTTATATATTCCGACTTGCCTAACCTCATCAATCCAACCTCAACTAAACTAACCTAACCTTACCTTAGTTAATCTGACCGAACCTTACATTACCCAACCTGACCTAAAAAACTGACCTTACCAACATTATACAACCTGGCCTAAACCAACCTAACTAACCTCATCTATATTCTAACGTAATCTATTTACGTTGTAAAACCCCTAAATTTTTATAGAGCAGATTTTAATAGTGACGACTCTCTTGTGGAAAAGACTCAACATCCAAGGGTTATAAAGATATTGGAGATATTTAAAGATATTGGAACGAAGACGACCTAGTTTCGTTATGTTAGCCATATGATGTGCATAATAAAATTTTGTAAACTTCTTTGCATTGTCCGTGTGCATTACCTTACCTCTATTCAATTTTAACTCTTCATATCGAGTTTGAACCCATAAGTACACTACAGTCTTACACCTAACCTTAAGTTTGTTTTACTGCCACATAAAATGATATATTATATTATTTTAAATGCGATAACGCTCAATAACGAACACAGCAATGCTTAACGATACCAAAACAGAACTAGTTGAGTGTTTTCAGTAGAAATGTAATCACAATGATGTAGGCCTATACTGTATTCCCAACCAGAAAGGCCAATTTCACCAAACATTTGGCCGACAATATTTTCGTTGCAATTACCCACAGTCGATTGTTTTGGCTCGGGTCATCGCTGGTAACAATACAACGTTATACGGGTGCCTGGCCATGAATCGGTAAACTACAATTTCGTCAACTACTGTAGTTCCGCACGAAACAGCCAACTGTAATTTGTTCGCCGCTAAGCAATTGTAATTTATTAGCGTAATGCTAACTTATGTAATTGCACACGACATGCGATTTGAATATATCTCAAGTAGAGTTTGGACAGTTGTAGTTAGGCAATTAGGTTTTTTTGGGATACGTTTATTTTTGTTTACGTGGTTTAATTAAAGAAAAATAATTGTGACATGAAAAGCCTTAGTTTTTATGTTTGTGGGTTAGAGTAATTCACCATATATTTGCCATAGATTATTGTAACATATGAAGATTTTCTTCAAATAAATTAGTCACTATAAAGTGTAGGAGAGCGAAAAAGTATTACTCTATTTCCTTTGTGGCTAGGTCCTAAATCCACTGTAGGATATTCATGGCCCACAACTCTGAAAACTTATTTTTGTGTGTGTCCTGGGGAAAGAGTGAACATTTGGTCTAACTCGGGGAAGGTTAAATAAAGAATTTGTCATTTGTCACTGAGCAAAATCAAAATTCAATAGTCATATAATGTTTCCTGACCTGCATATAATCGATTGTCAGACGTGTTAAACGCAGTACTTTATTAACAAAGAAATTTAGACGAATGTACGTTTTATTGTCAACCTAGTGCACTTTTGAGGCTGTAATATTTGCTATTAGGAATAATAACAATCAACATTAAATACTCTGCATACAGTGCTTAAACAGGTAAATAATGTAAGTATTTGATATTGACCCCCCTCAAATAACGTATGATCATACGAATGTAAGGTAAGAGTTACTTTACGCCCAAGTGAAGAAATATACTTAATCAAAAAGTAAATCGTTGTGATGTGTACTCTGGACAACCAAGTCTGTAATTAAACGTTGTGCACAGAGGGATATGCCGTGTGGTTATTCGATGCAGACGGTTAAATACAAAGCCTGTATGGGTCTAATTGTCGTCCTAATGGGATCTGCGGTTTTCAAGTATTAACATCACTTGCATTAACAGGGTTTACCTGCGGCTAGGACGTTTGTGACGTTTACATACCTCTAAACCTCCGAGGATCGGAACTGGACAAAGGGACTGATTGATTCATAGCCAAAGGGGATCACTTCAAAGAGTCTTAGAATGGTTGAATAGTAGATATAATACCAGAATATGACCCCACTTTCGGCGTTTTAGAGGCACTTTTAGGGCACTTTTTATAGGGGAAAAATGAGGAAAAAATGGAAGAGCTTTTTTTGGCCACTTTTTTTAAAGACCCAGCTCTCGACCTATACACCCCTATATAAATTTTCTACTTTTGTTAATACTAAAAATCACGTCTGGAAATGGTGAGCTTTTTATGGCCACTTTTTTAAAGACCTGGATCTCGTCCAATACAAGCCTATATAAATGTTCAAACTCCATTAAAATTTCAAATCCACATCCATTCCCATGTATATTTTCAAAATCATGTGAGGTTTGTGCGTGAACTCGGGCATGCTCCCGGCTCATGATGTGCTCCCTTGGACATCCTTAGTGGAAATCCATGAGTTCTGGCTACTTGGGAACCCAAGCCATTTGACATACAACGAATCACCCTTTCTCCTAATTATCTTCTCTACCAAATACATGTCCTTATACTTTGTCTTTAACAACTCCTCTGTATAGAAGCCTCCCCTGATTATATTGCCATTTTCATCTTTCAAGATATAAGTCACAGGCTTTGTATTCTTAACTTCTGCTATTGTAAATAGTTCCCCTGTCCAATTTGGAGTATAACCTTTACTAAAAACATGTTTATACTTGGAAATCCTTACGCTATCACCTACCTTATATCTTGGCTTTTTAACTTGCTCTACTTTAGAAGTCAACCTCTCATGCACATATTTACTATTCTTAACATTCACTTGGTTAGGCTTCATTCCTATAGATCTATGCACCTTATTATTATATTTTCGAATTAACTTTGGAAGTAAATCCAACCATTTATAACTCCCCTGAGCACTAAATTCCCTATATAACCAATTCTTTAAAGTTCTCTGAAACCTCTCCACAATTGCAGCCTTAGTTGTAGAAAATGTGTGATAGTGATTAATATTTAATTTTTTCATTAGTTTGCTAAAATATTGATTAAAAAATTCTTTTCCATTGTCAGATTGAATGTTTTTAACCCCCTTTGGTAGAATGGTTTTAATGGCTTCTGTAACCACTAACCCTGTCTTATTCTTTAGTGGAGCAGCATAAGCTTTTTTAGAAAATGTATCTATTAAAGTTAAAATATATTTATTGCCAGAATTTTCTCTAGCATAGTTTTGCATATCAACTAAATCTATTTGTATGGTTTCGTTTATACCCAATACTTTAAAAGACCTTCTAATGAAATTCTTTCTTGCAGGCTTATGAAGCTCGTATGCAATTTCATTCATTTTTTATAACATCATCCTTTCCTGTAACTCTAAATACATCACCATTAGCCCCAATCAATAGATTATCTTCCATTCTTTTAAATACATAGTTTTCTGGTATATATGGTCTATTATCTATATACTTAAATCCACTCAAAGATGTGGGGTCAGCAACTAATAAATCAGGATTATATTCCATCAAATTAAAATTTTTTTCTCCATATACAAATTTTGATCCATCGTAATGCATAGATTGTGACATTAGACAAATATCATCCAAATGTTCCCCCTCTGGTAGATTTCTTATAAATTGTTTTTTGGCATCCCAACATTTTTCTTTTTTATCAAAAGTTATAGTCTGTTCTTTTATAACACAGTCAGTGTCATCAATGGCAGGTTTAACACGGACTAACCTTTTACTATTAAAACTCCAATAGCCTGCTTCCATTTTTGGAACTTGTGAAACATTCACAGCATCTTTACTATCTGTACCTTCCATCAAATTACTAATTTTCTGTTTCTTTGCATTCCAAACACCATTCTCTGATTCTAAAAATTCATAATTATTATCGTCTTGTACAAATTTACCATCTTCTTTTCGTATTAAAGTCTGTTGTAAAGTGGGCACATCATCTAAACTTTCACCCTTTTCTACATTAGTAATTTTCCGTTTCTTAGCATTCCAAATACCATTCTCTGATTCTAAAAATTCATAATTATTATTGTCTTGTACAAATGTACCACCATCTGTTCGTATTAAAGTCTGTTGTAAAGTGGGCACATCATCTAAACTTTCACCCTTTTCCACATTAGTAATTTTCTGTTTTTTAGCATTCCAATTTTTATTCTTAGATTCTAAAAACTCATATTTAGTTCTACCTTGTAAGAAGACATCACCTTTTCTAGTTAATGTCTGTCCCAAAGTTGATACATCATCTACAAACTCCCCATCTTTAACGTTACCAATTTTACGGTTTAAACCATTCCAACTATCGTCTTGTAAATTTAAAGTAGGTTCACTACTAGCCCTGGGTTCTGCAGGCTTATTATATGGATTATATAAACGATAAAATTTATCTATAAACATATTTTTATTTAGTAAATAATTCCACTTTCTCTCAATTCCTCAATAATGGAATCTATTTCATTATCCACTCCTGAGTTACCGGCTTGGCGACTTAGCCAAAGAAGTCTTAACCTATCTACAAGCTCATTAGGATCATCCCAATAAATATAGTCTATTTTATTACCAGTCACTTGTCTCAAACCTTCACCAACAGACTTAAATAGAGGTTTAATTATATTAAGATATTTAGTATGTCTATTACTTGAAATTGGTGCACCATCTTTGTAACTCTTTAAATGTCCATTTGTAGCTTCCAAAATTTCTTTATAATTTTGCAAATCAGCCGGAGTATAATCCTCAGGTTCTTTTAAAGTTAACAATTGCCACAAACCTTTTGTCCCCTTGTAGGTTTTATTTGCAATTGTAACATCATCATTGGCAATGTCAACTTCCTTATTTCCAATAAAAAATTTATTTGCTTCTCGTCTAATACCATATGTAGTGTCTGTCATACTACTTTTACTGAGGTAATTTCCTAAATAGTCTGATGCTAAAAGACCAA